TCGAGTTCAACATCAACTACAAGACACGCTCTGTTGCAGCACCGTCGCTGCCCCGGGTCTATACCAGATCTCCATGCGAGCGAATATACGAGCAATGATCGATCATTACCACACCTACACTGATGGATGATAATATCTCCACCGCCAGCACTTTAAACTTGTCGTTGGGGGGTTTTCATGTGGTCGCGTGTCGCCATATGTTTTGCATCTGATCGAAGCCAATTTATCCTGGCCCAGCCACGGTAACTAGTTAGTTAACTATCTGTTCCTAGTTGATCATAATTCCCCCGCTGATCAATGACATATATATTATTGCAGGCAGCACCGTCGCGCTGTAAATGAGACAGAGTTACCAGCATTGATACTATCCAATGCAGCCAGTTGGCAGGTTATCTTGACCACAGAGCAACATATTATTATTACTCGATCTCGGACAGACCCTATCCAGCATCTCAATCGAATTAAGCCTCTATGGCCCAGCAGAATTCCCGAGGCCCATCCCGCGTAGCCTGACATATACAGGGTTTCCCGGTCAATCTAAAAAAATGGTCTCCCAACTTCCTCTGAGTTAAAAAGGCTGGCTGGAGGGTGACCGAGATCTATCATTTCCGCAAGGTGCGCTGGAATTCTGGATCTTGGTCTGTAAATAAAATCCTAAATCTATATAACCTATACGGTGGTAGGCCCCTCCAAGGTCCAGGTTAGTGGATATTTTGGCTCCAGAAAAGGGTGCTCAAACTATGACAATTGTGTGGTTTGATGAAACAATGCAATGCAGCCTACAGAACTAAATATATGGACGCTCGATATCTATGCTTCGTGAACCAAAATCCGGGACATTAAACTGTTCTCATGGCAGACATATACCCTTAACCTGTTACTCTAGGGTACGGTGCCTACAAACCCGCATGCGTCCTCTTACATGTGCATGCTACATTTACGATGGCCATAGCTGGCTGAGGCAAAGATGTGTGGCCTGGTTCTCCATCAGTCTGATACTCTCCTTTGGCTCAGCTGGTAAAACGCTCGAGATGCAAGGCTTTCCAATCTCTTGCACCTCTCAGCTCCCTCAGCCTTCAGCTGGCGGGCCTCCCGATTTCTCAATCACCGATCTCCGCATCTTGAAAAATGCTCAAACAAAATTGAATTCCTCTTTCCTGTATGGATGATTCGTTCGCAAGTGTCTTTTCTTTTTCTTACTTTTAAACCCTCTTTCTCGGGTTTCCTGCGGCTATCTACATGGACATTGCTCCAAGTCATCGTATGCCACCTGCACTGCTCCCTTGTTGCCATCGCAGATTGTTTCGTTGGTGCTTGCAAGCTCCTGTTTATCGTCTGCCACAGACCTCGTAATCGCTGCTTAACAACAAGTGGCCAATTGACAAATGTCATCAACGCGAAAGAAGGTGTCCCCTGTCTCGCCTTTTTCCTAGCGAAACTGTCAATGTTAGCTCGAAGCCATTTTCCCTGATTACATGGATGAATGGCCTGCCGATTGACCGACCTTCGCTGGACCGCCTTTTTAATCCACCCAGCCAAAGAGATCCAGGGATGGGAAGAAGAGAAAAAAAAAAAAGGAAAAAAGCATCTTCATTCTGCGTTTGACACCGCTGGTCCCGCTGTCAGTCAAATATCGGAGTGCTAGTAGAACCTACAGTCATTGTTCATTTCACACGGCATAGTACCGTACTCCCTGGCCTAATACCTTGCTTCGTTAACAAATAATGCCACTGCCATTGTTTTTCGCTTCTTATGGCTCTGGCCTTCTGTTACGAAGGAGAAGCCAGGGTCAGAAAGGACAAGCTCCAGCCATCGTTTGCTCCAAAAATCATATCTTCCTCTCTCCTTCCTTCACTCCAACAAGTTCCGTGTCTTTTCGTTTTTTCAATTCCTCACCGATCAATCGCCAGACGCATCACCTCTAAAATATCCAAAAACAGCCACTGACATGCCCAACAACATGCAGCAGCCAATGTGCACTCAATATCAAGTACCTTGAGACTGTGCGTTTATAATGGCCATAAAATCTCCCGCCAGGAAGCCCCTGAGTTGGCATAGCTTGCTGTTATTGGTGCCTCGTGGTTCGGTGGTAAGATCAGATCGTCCCGTCAATTTCGCTTTCATCGCTTCCGAGCCTGCTTTATTATGATTATTTCTGTTGTTCTCACTCTTAGTTCACTCATCGCATAAGTACTGACTGCACAAAGAGAAATACGATAATTGACATGGAAATGCGCACACTGCGCCACCATGGATCTCGATCACACAACACCCTGGAGCTGCTCGCCATAACTTTATATGCCCGCTTGCTTTAACCCTTTTTACACCTGCTACTGATTTCAGTCTAGAGTATTTCCAGTTGCGATCGACGCTGTCACCTGCTTGCAACCGAGATTCTAAATGATATTTTGTCTTTAAACCCTACTTTCTCTTGCTTACAGTCAGGCGGACTAAAAACATCATGCACAGGCGGGAAGAAATATGGCGTACGCTGGCCGTGCATATTTATATCCACAACGGCTATGCATCTCTACATGGAGCTTCGAGGTGGCATTGGCAGTATTGTTGTCACAGGGTGTCTCTTGACCTCATGGCTTCCTATCTTTCTGCTATCAGCTTCGACTTAACCAAAGCTCTGTGGCCTCTTTTGCTCTCTTTAGGTTTTATTCCAATTTAAGGATGTCTTCCATTGCTTGTCTCTTGCGGCTCAACGCGTTGCCATGCATGTGCGTGCATGATTAACCCCCAGCGGGCACTCTCCGTGGGCTTTTATTGCTTTACTCTCCCTCACAAGTCCTCACTCACTCATCCTAGGATGGACTTAAGGAAAAAGGCTGTTGAAGCACTGTTTGGAAAATAAACTCTCCAGGGAGTCAGTAAAGTGGTGCCATAAGCTGTGTTCCCAGGCCAGGGTAATCCGGGCGGGCAAAGACAAGACGCCGGCCACGGGGGAGGAGACTTAGGGCGGAGAAAGGGAAGCGACTTGGTATTCCGCCCATCAAGGATATGTTTGGCCATTCAAGAACTTGGAGAGAACATTTCCCTCCCGCTGAAAGGTTTTTCATTGTCAAAATAACTACGAGCATGCAGAGTAACTATGCAGTGTGCTGCATGGTAACATCACATACCACCGTATACGCGTACCACCCGCGCCATACCTCGACATGATACAAACTCACCCTCATACTCACCCTCACACTCATTCATACACCGCCTCCAAATCAAAAACACGAGCCCTGTACACATCACTCGTAGTAGATTTCGAAGATCAGAACCCGAAAATCGAAAGGATATAAAATAGTAGTTGCCGAGACATCTACCTGTCTTTCACGCATCACCCCTGGGTCTATCCTTTTTCCTTTCCTCTTCACTCCCTATCTTCAATTCATGTCTTCGGCCTACGCGCCCTAAAACACGATGCGGTGTCATCATCTCACAGCAGCCTCCCACGGGCCATGGAACCACTTCCCCTACCTCCACATGCATGCAGCAGCAGAAGCCACTCGTTTTGCTGCCACCATGCTCGAACCCCACTCTAACTTATTTATACAGTTATATTAACTAAACAGCAATCGTGACTAAGATTCTCGTCTTTGTGAATATATCCTCGGCATCCGCTTCGTCCGAGTAATCTATATAGCAGGTCAAATTGGGTTTCATATAGGAATCTAATTCTCTGCTCTCCAAAAGATGAGCCTCCACGTTCTCCATCTCCCACCCTCTGCTTTTGTATTGGAAAGATGAGAAAGTTTATCATCCTACCGGCCTGCTTTTCTTGTTCTTTCTTTATTTTTGCTCGTGGCCAGTCTTCAGCGTCTATTTTAGGCCTGTTACCAGCTATCAGTGACTTAATCTGACCCCTTGCGTTCTTCCAGACCGACCTAGGAGGCCGTGAAGTAAGGGGTGGGATTTCCTGCTCCTGTGAGTCCACCTGTCTGGGATACGTATATAATCAACATCTAATATCAATATTCCATATTTTCTGCTTCGCCTTTCTTTTGCTATGTAACAAAAGTTCCCAGCGTTGAGCTATTCCGCGGTTTTACCTCCGTCCTTACTACACCAGCCATTTATCTTAAACATCACCAACCAAGCATTCCGTCATAGAGGGTTATACGGTCATGCCACTCTTTCTTCCCTTTTTTCACCTTCTTTCCTACGACGCATAATACAGAACATACGAATCCTCCTGGCATCAAATTGTAGATATTCGGTGCCTATACGTATAAACAGTTGGCATAGCATGCCTGTTGTGCGATGTGCACTGGACACCGATGAAACACGGAGAGAAAGGGTGTGGAACAGATAGATATGCAAAATATATCTTAAGATGGAGTTTCCATCTTAAAGGATTGATCCTTTTGGTGTAGTGGTAAAACTTTCCAACAAAAATGCATGTTTTACAAGGGGGACGTGATAGTTAACGCTGCTTATGCTAGAGAAGAGACACGCGCGATGAGTTTATTTGTGAGAACGGAGCACGGTGTGTGGGCGTGTGGAACAGAAGTATATGAATGGAATAGAACCATCGATACCAGGGCCCCAATGCTCTTGAAGTCGGGGGCCCCACACCTAAGCCGGCAGCCAACCTTTAGGCACCATCACCCCTAATCGACCCCGAATCTTGCTTCCTACAGATCCGAGCTAACATTTGATAGAGTCGGGCCGATAAAGTCCCGAGCCTCCTGTTGTTCTTAGCGTGCCAACTTCACGAAAACTCGAGGTCGCCAAACATGGAGAATCAGAAAAGCCGTTCTTTTTGACGAGTTTACTCCAGAATATTAAGCATCTGCTGCTCATAGGTTTATATGGATCTACCCAGGTGATGATTTGCAAGAGATGGAGCTGGTGGTGAAGATTGTAAATTGTTCGCTATGACATCTTGGAAGGAATGATTTTTATCAGTTATGTTGTCTATTTGTTGCTCGAGCGCATGCTAACTTGCAATGTTTAGGCCGGCAAAAAAAATGTACTGACGTCCCGTACAGCGCATTTATTATTTAAATGTTGGTCTTGATCGTGCAGGCGATGAGGCCAATGCTACCATGCCGTGCCATACCATGGTCCGAGTGAGCTCGAGTAACTGTGAGCTGTTATTAAGCGACAAAGTAATGAGCTCTTGCTTTGGTTTCGAGCTCTCTCTCACATGGAACCCACCTTTCCCCAACAGAACATATAATGCACGTCTTCCCAGGGTCTGCTGCAGCGTTTCCATGAGCGTTGCCCGAACGCACCTCACCCATGCATCGCCGGAAGAATAAACACGTCGGATTTTCAAGTGTCCGAGCATAGTTGACCTGGAGAATGCGATCCCTCCTGGCGTATTCCCTGCCCTAGGGCAGGTCTAGACACACTTCTACCTATCATTGGAATTTTCAGGCTCAAAATATATTACCATCGACTCGTGCATAGAAGTCAGAAATGTGTACGGGTGATTCGATTGTCCCATGAATTGCTAATAACATCTGGGCTTTTGAAGGTTAATAGGACGATTTTTATCATGCATGCATTCACTTTGCACCATGCATAATCGTTCGGTGGGGGCAAACGAGGGCTTTTATCCTGTTATGTTTGTTCGAAGCCCACGGGTGCAATTCGAGGCTTTTCTTAGGCTATACAGGGTAAATATCGCCAGGGTGTTGCTGGGGCCAGCGCTACAGATTTGGTATTGAACTCCCTCGACGTGAATTCCTTCTGGCTGAAAACAAAGACCTTACTCTCATACACCAAGTGTGTTTCCCTCTGTCAATGATACCTGGAGTGCGCTTGTGGCAAATAGAGTCACTACTATTCTGCGACTATTGCTTTACCATCGCAAAACCCTGAATAAGATCTCCCGCGGACGCAATTTTGAGGAGAATTAGGAATGGATTACTAGCTGGTTGTAATTCAATGACAAAGAAGCCGAGAGTGTAAATGAAGGAGCAAACAAACATTTATATTGGGCTAGGGAAAAGCACCCGCTTTCGTGCCCCACTACATTTATGTGCGTCATCCAAGCCACACAAGCCCCACAGGGCCTAGGACTTTTGTTCCGCTCGAATATGGATGGGCAAAGCATTAGGAATATCATGACAAAAGACTCACGATGCCTGCCTTATCCCAACCCTTCGTTCCTGCCTGGCTATATACGCTTATCCCAAAAACACTTTGTTAATGGATGTCTCTCTACCTATTATTTGAGCGCCTCAAACCATCCATACCGCAACATTACGTTCACGGCATTTACCCATGCTCGTTCGGGTACCATGGCATAGATGTAGGCGACAAATTGTTTATTTCTTTATCCCACCCGATTTCAAATTACCCTCCCGGTCTCTTCGTTCGAGAATTATCCAAATTGGCAGAATCCCGGTCACATCGGCAGTCTAAGCCCAGCTGAACACTACAAATATACACTCAAGCAACAATGACGCATTCTAACTAACATCGCCCTGCAAAATTTCCATAACATTTCCAATTAATTGGCTTATCCCTGATGAATTACAAAATGAGCGGACCATGGCAGTCTGGGCATCGCAAATCCCATCAACAACTCTTTGCAGAATCTGAAGGCTGCATTCTTTTTTGTCTTTCGATTAGTGAAGGATTAGCGAAGACTGGACAATAAGAACCTATTCGCAATTGGCTCCAAGTTAGCGGAGCGAGCGGAAGAGGCTGAGGCAACACAACCACAATGATGCTGCTGTGTCAGAGGGCTGAGCTAGTCATGGGTTTGTTGTTGACCTTAAATTCATGAGAGTTGCAACTAGGCAAACAAGCTATTCCAACGAAGTGGAGTGTTGACCGCATCCTGAAATTGGAATGGATCATGTCGCCAATACCTTTGCTTAGGCCATGCTGATAAAAGTCCACTTCTCTATTTCGAGGTAACACAGCAGATTATCCTTATTCTCGTCGCGGGATCAAGGGTACGAAAGGTAAATTCTCGGACAGTTTAAAGTTCCCCAGATCTGGGTCAAGGCCTGATAGCTCGCAATCCATGTTAGAGGGGAGGGAAAAGATCCCGCTCATGTTCCGTTTGATAAGATTTTTTTGTGAAAATATTCTGATACAGTACATGAATCCCCAAGTTGGAGGGGGCAATCAGGTTTTAGATTCAAATTCCTGCTTGCATGGAATTGAAAAGAAGTTGCGTTTACTTTAGCTTCTCGCGAACGCAATTCTGAAAACATCTTCCTACAAGGGTTTCCAAATGGGGAGTTGATGTGCCGTTGGTTAGGCTTTGCGCACACATCCCAAGCTCCTTGATGTTAGATGTTACAATCTAAAACCCTAGAAATATGCCTATGACGCACCATTAGAGCTGGGAAGAAGCAGGGTATATTTATTCAGTCAGCCACTGCCATAAACCCCGCCCACACTTGGGCTCGGAAACCACCGAACGAGCGGCCTGAGCTCGGGGCCTATCCACGGGAAGGGAAAGAACCGCATATCAATAATAATCAGGGCTTCAACAGCTGTCTCGGTCTGCCCCTCTTTTTCTCCTCAATTCGAAACGCCACGAAACGAGCCGAGTCTATGGGAAGCTCGTTTTATAACAGATAGAGCTGCTATACTGTTGCTTCCATTTGTCCTTTAGCCCAATGGCAGCCCTGGTGCTTCACTCAGACAGATAATTCTGTATATGCAGGGCCATAATTCTGACCACCACCCCACCTCCAGAAGAGGGTCTGGAACACCGAAGACGAAAACCTATCAGCCAAAAAAAGACAAATAGCTGCAGATGGGCAGGCGAACCGTGTATTCGAATTCTTTCTACTAGTTTAAATGCAAGAGCGGGAACTATTCGTAAGCGTCAAAGTGTTGCAATCTGCAAAATATCCTGCGGACAAGGTCGCAATTTGGACCCCAGCATGTTGAAATCAGATTTATCACATCCTCTTAAACTGAAACTTGCTTATCTTGGTTCAACAAATCATGAACTCCCAGAGACTAAGGAAAAATTGGACATAGCGAATCGATTTGCGATAAGGAACATCATCTTGAAATCCTGGCAACAAATGAACACTTTCGGCGGATACCCCTCACGCAGAACCGACGAATAAGATATCCAGGATCAACCCCATCCTTTGAAATAATTTACTTTCCCTCGAAAAGTAGAAATGAGAGGGCTGAGGATTATTTGATTCTTATTTCTGGATCCGAATTTCCTTGGGATGAGATTAGATGGAATTGAGCGGATACATTTCACACATGACCTCAAAATATCTAAAATTTGAGGATACGCACAGCCATCTTTGATCTGCGTTGATGCCTGGATCGCATGGCGGGGTTGAGAATACCCTGTGTCCGCCACTGTTGGCGGGGATAACCTACAAAATTTCGGATTCTACTCGCCACGGACATCATCTTTGATAATCAAATGTCCCTGCAGAAGCGGAATTTTGAAGGCATTAAATGTCGATATTACAAATGATGCAACCGAAAGGTAGAGAGTAACCTTAGCGTTCCTGGAGTGCTTGACTGTTCTGTACGCGACGGATGTCTATAAGACACTACCCGTGTGATCTCTCTCGTTCGTGGAAAATCCGCGTTTATCAATACCAACAGAAAATGTGACGCATTGTCTTTGTCTGACACGACCGTGTTAGTCGTTTCGATGACCTTGAATGAATCCCCTGGATAACATTTTGGCGTTGAGGAAACAATATTGGCCAAACGTGTGGGGATATCAGTGAGGGGTCATTATTGCACATTTACATCATGATGCATTCACGGATCCCTATATCGGAAGACTAAATTCTGAAGCAAGCGATAGTTTTCACGGAAACTCTGTTCAGCTCTTGTCGAGTTTCTTCGCAGCTGTCGACCCCCTCTCCTCTAGCCGCCTCAGTGGACTGCCGTCTACCAATTATCTCGGAGTCTAGCTTCACATCCATCAGCTTTGCAATTTTCGTGCGACTTCCAATTTTTAAGTCTGATCCGCATGGTTCTACTGCATGCATCGAATTATTGCGACATGGTATCGAGGCCAAGACAGATGTCTCACTGGCCGGCCACAGAATCCTGTGCTATTGCCAGTCCACAGCTTGCGCTTGGCAGATATTGTCTCCTACTTCGTCCCTACGCTATAAAATGCTGGATGATTGCAACTTTCTCAAATTAACTCAACCAGCAAGCAGTTCTTTCTTTTCGGAGTCTCATATCATCAGTTTATTGCCTCTAGCCCTGTTTCTTATCCTTCAACTACCAGGTTCGAATTCGCCGACATACAATGGCGCCGATTCCGGTTACAGGTGTCCAGTGCGGAAAAGGTCCCCATGGTGAAATTCCCCTTCGTGTAGAAATCCACGACTTGCAGAAGGACATTCACAAATGGAGTCTTTACGTCTTGGCATTGAGGATCTTTTACGATAGACCGGCGGATCATCCGAAATCATACTTCCAGATTTCAGGTAGGATTTGATGACACAAGCTCCAAATCAACTAGTTTGGAAGCTGACTTGTGGTTTCAGGGATACATGGAATGCCATATCTGCCATGGAATGGCGAAGAAGTGCCCCGAAATGGGCCAAAACCAACGGGCTATTGCACCCATAGTACTGTTCTCTTCCCAAGTTGGCATCGTCCATATGTTGTTCTCTACGAGGTGATTCTTGCCTTGATGCCGTCTATTTTATCATGCCAATATGTAGGCTAAGAATACCCAGCAACTCATCCAAGAAATCATAGCAACAGAGATCTTGCCAAAAATTCCACAGAGTGATAAAGACTACGATAAGTACAAGACGGCGACTGAGACATTTAGAATCCCTTTCTGGGACTGGGCGGCTCCCCCGCCAGAGTCACAACAGGAGATTATCAACAAGTGGCTTCCTCCAACCTCCCAAGAAAAGAAAGTTCCAAACTTGGTTCCTGGATTTCCCCAGGTCATAGATAATCCTCTCTACCAATATGTCCTAAAGCCACAGGGCGGAAAGGCAACGTTTGGTGACTTTGGTGTTGGGACACTAAAAGTCGGGCCCGACGAAGATGTAGAAGTAAGTTTCTTATATCCACCCGTTGAGGACAATTTGTTAATTTCAATTAGTACAAAGATTGTGTCGGCCTCAGCAGGTGCCCGGAAAACAAGTACTATCTGACGAAGGAAGAGGCTGAGAAGGAAGGTGTCGTGTGGAGTGCAGACTTTCCAGGAAAGTGGCGTGAGGGAGAAATATTGAGTTATGAGGTTTATAAGAACTTTACGGACTCTATGCCCTGGTTTATCCCTGGCATTAAACCGGAAATTTCAAAAAAAGAGCATGATGCGGCCGAAAACGTCTGGCGCCTATTCAATTACTCCTTGACATACCCTGATTTTGCCACGAATGGAGACCTTCCCAAAGACGACGATGACGTGAAAAGAGGGCACTGGTATCAAAGCTTGGAATCTATCCACAATAATGTCCATCTCTTTGTCGGTGGAGGGAATAACGGACATATGACCCAAGTCCCTGTTGCTTCGTTCGATCCATTTTTCTGGCTTCACCATGCGTAAGTTTATTTTCTTATGGACAAATTACACATTTGGCGCTAATAGAATGCGGTATAGAAACGTCGAGCGATTTTATTCAATATGGCAGTATCTTCATGATGATCAGTGGTTCGGAGATACCACTGAAATACTGAAGGATTCCACTGGAAATATGTTAAACGACAAGGGAGAAGTTGTTGACAACGAAAAGGACGCAGCTCGGATCACTGTTGGCCCTAAAACTCCACTTGCGCCTTTCCGGAACAACGGAGGTAATTTCTATACCTCTAACGATGTCCGTAACCACACTGTATTCAACTACACCTATCCGGAGCTGCAGAACTGGAAATACCCTAGTAAGGAAGAACACAAGAAGGCGATCAACGCTCAGATCAACAAGACATATGGCGGTCATAAGGCCGATACCCTCATAAAAAAGAGGACAAGTGAGGCTGAGACACTTGAAGTCGTCATCAATGTCAGCTTCTATAAGTATGTTTCCCATATCTTAAAAACCTCTGGTTGTCGAGTGCTGAAAGATATATAGGTTCCTCTTCTCGGGCATGCCTTTCAACGTGAAAATATACCTTCAATATGGTGACAAGAAGGACCCTGCCAAGGATTACATTGGCAACGCATATAACTTCAGCGCCCCTTCAAGTTCCGATGGGAAAGAAGTTTGTTCTAACTGCACAATCCTCGAGTTGAGCAGAGCCACTTGTACCGCACAGGTGGTGGTCAGCCACATGTTGAAATTCTTCCCCTTGTATCCAGGTGATGAAAACATTGATATCGAGAACGCAGACCAGGTCGAAAAATTCTTGAAGAAGCGTCTATACGTTCAGATTATTTCGGTACGTGGTCCAATATTTCCTCTCATAGCGGTTGATACACCAGACTAATCTGAGTTTTAGGCCACTGGAAGGGAAATAGTCCCACCCAACACAAATGATAACAAGCCTGCCATTACTGTTTCAGTTGCACATTGTAAAGCCAGATACTCGGCTGATGATACAAGACTAACAACCTTTGGCGCGTTCCAAAACTTCCTTTCTCTAGCAGGCGATGTCGCTGAACTTTTGGTCGTCGGTACGGGGGCGCTGGTTCTGACCGGCACTGGCGCAGTTCTTGGAACAGTCAATAATGCAGGAGAAGTGATTCTCGGCAATGGATCTACGAAGAGTCTAAAGGAAGTATCCGGGGTTACTAACAAAGGAGCACGAGACCTCGTCGAACTTGCAGGGGGTCTTACTGCCGCTGCTACGGGCGTATTGGGTGGAGGCCTAGGTGGCCTGGGTGGTAGTGGCAAGAAAGATGACAGAGGCGGAAGAGGTGGTGGATTCGGACTCTTCTAATTTGGAGATGAACGACGTACCCAGCGTTACTTATTATCAGTTTGCTGTTCCGTGAAATCGAATTTGTGGCAGTCCTGCAGGTTAAAATTGATTACAATTGCAGAAAGTGTCAAGATCAAATGTGGGAAAACACGATCGAATTCACCTTCATGAATGACTTTTCTGATTTATCCTCTCTCTCTCTCTCTCGGGTAGTTTTGACTATTCTCCCTCTCTTCTTTTTTATTTTTATATATTTATTTATTTATTCACCCTCGTTTATGGCTGTGCTGAACCGCCCGGATACCTAACCACAGCTTAAGAAACGAGCCTTGTGCGTTAGTAATATTTTTAATGATGGCTATCAAGAATGATCAGCTCTATGATTCCTGATTATTTCGCGCGATATGTTTTGTGATTAACGTCAGCGGAACCGTGTTCGGCTTGAAGGGGGTGAATAAGGGGCAATCTCGAGATGATGGGATGTTCAGGTAGCAAACATGAAGACTCTTTCGTCTTGGTCGGCTAATCTAGCTACCGTGTTCTCTCGGAAATGCCCCACCGCAAAGTAGCGAGCGAGCATTCGTCAAACAAGGATGAATGCGGAAATGTATAGGATAGGTGTTCTCGCCGATATAACGGACACCTTGCAACTGCAGTCGCCACCAGGTCTAGACTTTGAAAAAATCTCAAAAGGAAGAAGCAAAAAGGATACGAAGGTATTCAGACCAACTTATTTACGTACAACTTCCCTAAACTATGTAATCTATAGTAAGTAACTAACATATGAACATAAATAATAAGCGCTAGAAGTAATAATAAACCAAACTCCTTATGCCCTGCCATAATTAAAATACCTAACACCTGAACATTCTATTCGGTCCCGTGGCAAGTGCTGCAAAATTTCAAAGCCTCATATCTTCTTCCTTCCCTTCTATCTTTGACACAGTTCCCCATCGTAGTCCCATTGAAAAAAATAAAAAATAAAAATAAAAAAATAAAAAAATCTCCAATTCATTAACTACCCAAGACTACCCAAGAGATGAATTGGCGAACCGACTCCCCTTTCGTATCCATTTGCCGTATCGGAAAAATAAGTATCTATAAATCATAAAGATGTTAGTCAGACAAAAATTCTCTCTCATACTTTGATGATGAATTTCTGGCAGAGTGAGGAACAACAAAGCCAACTTGTGTCGCGCATATTAAATATGAGAAGTGTCAAAGGAGAGAACCAAGGCATTTCCCTCGGCCAAGAAATGTATTGGTGGATAAGAAAAGGTGATAATAGAAAATAATTATGGTCGATGTGATATTTTACTCACGGGAAAGGGGCCATTGCAACTGTCAGGAACGCTAGGAGCGAGGATGCCCAGTTGAATCCTAGTCGATGGTACACTGCAAAGTACATTAGTCTGATATTTCCTGAAAGGCTGCGGTGGTAGGATAGGCACCAAATGTCAGTCAATAAATATTAAATACATACTTTGTATTCCAAACAATGGGAAAGCAGCTCCCAAACTTGACCTGAGGAAGCTATTCGCTGCGAGCGCACTAGCCGCGTATAAAGGATACGCGTCAACTAGAAATGTAAAGATACCAGAGTAGACAAGTACGGTTCTTTTTTTCTCGGGTTAGGTTAGTTGTCGGATTGAGAATAAGAGTCAGCCATAATGTCCTGAGGGTAGACGAATGCATCGTTTGACCTCCGCCTGAAAGTCGAAATCGTCTTTTTGCGAAAGTTAAACACAGGGGTATGTGGGAAATGGCTTACCCCATGCCGAATAACGCTGTGCCAATGATTGGAGCGATCCCAGTGAACATGTCTGTATGTCGTCCAGGCGAAAATGAAAATGCCAATAGACACCAAAGGAGCACCAGCAATTGCTAGATAAAAGTTCCGTTAATGCCTCTCAACATAATTCCAGTGGATGGGAGGGTTCGACCTTACCTGGGGGCAACCGCCACTCGGGTTCATATTCTCCCAGTTTACCGACTTTCATCTCCCGCTTGCGAGCGAGTCGAGTGTAATTTCTCCGCCAGAGCGGGTCGCTCAAGATAGCTATCATCATTCCAACAAAAAGACCGAGAAAGCTTAATCCGACCTGAGAAAGAGTAAAACCGTGGAGGGTCGAAAACACCAGTTGAAAAGCCCCAAAAAAGAGATAAATAATACCCAACAGAATTGCAGCAAAAATGCACAGGCTCAAGCACATAGGCTCCAATGCCAAAAGCATCATGGGTCTGTATACAGCACGCAGGACAGTCTGGGCAACAGACCGCTCTCTCCGTTCAATCGGTGCTCGCCAGCGTTCATCTCCTGTTTCCCGCCTGAGTCTGATAGCTTTGCGCCGGAGTAGCCTTTTCAAAAACAAAAATTGCCGATGTCAGGAAACAGCGAGCAAAACATTTGGGGAGACTATGGCTTACACTGGGTGGTAGGTCTCGGGAACGAACAGGGCAATGGCGATTAAAACAGAAGCTGACCATATCAACAGCATATAAAATATCCACCGCCTAAATGATGAAGTCAGATTCATATTACTATGATGTCAAACCGTAATATAAGAAGGCGCATACATACCAGGAGGTAAATTCGCAAATAAAACCGCCCAAACTGAAAGCGATGATTAACGTTATATCCACTAGAACATTGCGTAGGAGGAATTCCTTACAGAGGGCCAAGTTCTGGTCCAAGGAATGGACTTGCAGTGTAGATCATCATCGGCGCACCAAGCTCATGCCGAGCAAACATGTCTCCAACAGTTCCCCCTGCCACGCTAAGGAAAGCACTTCCTGAAATTCCAGTGAAGAACCTTGCGACAAGCATAGTCTCGATATTCTGTGCCACTGCGCATGGTATGAGCCATATCAAAAAAAAAGCAAGCGAAGTGACGTATATTATTCGTCTTCCATAGAACTAGAAAAAGATACCATTATGCTCAGCGTGGTGCCCTCTGTGTGCTGCCAACATATACAGATATAGGAACATGTACTAGACGGGCTAACCTCTGATAGGGGTGCCAACACCAGTGGCCCCAATCCCAGTCCCAGGATGAAAAGGGACAGTCCCAGCGTCGCAACGATCAGTGAGCAATTGAATTCCTCCATTAACTGCGCATACGTCATGGTGTAGAGGGAAGAGGCACTGGTGCTAACCAGGCAAAGCTCAAATCATCAGCGTTCTAAAATCTGGGAGAAAAACCCCACGCAGGATGTGGAGAAGAGTCAACAGTATATGTACAGTACATACACACAGACAGATCCAATCGCCAAAACTGCAATGGCCGCCCATTTCCTCGCTAACTTCATGTTCCGCGGGTTATCAGGGTCATCGTGCCCATCCCACTTCACAGTGTACTCCCCCCCTGGAGCAGTAGACACTTCCTCGGCCTTCTCATCGTCCTCAGGCTCCTGAAGCCTATCATTATCGACCGCAGGGTGGGAGTAGCCGTCGGAAAGGGAATACACTCGACTGATCGAACGAGAGCTCCGCGAACTCACTTGACTCACAGATCGAGCGACATTCCTCGAATTCGTGCCGCAAATCGGCTGGAAATGTGGTTCGCTTTCGCTGGGAGTAGGATCGTCATTCTCGTCTCGATCGCTCTGTGCAATGCTCTCCTCCGCATTGCTCGACGATGTTCTGGAGGTGGCTTCCATCTCTTTTGATTGGCATTCCACGGCCCTGCACATTAAGATTTCTTGGGAGGGAAACTAAATGTCCGCTGGGGAAGAACAGCTTTTATATCACGTCTACGAACCATCGCAATTTCGCAAGGAAGAATGACGACATTGAACATTCCTTCGAAAGAAGAATAGAAGGAAAAAGAAAAGCTCTGCATCGGTACGCATAAGCGGATACCATTGCCATATCGCTAATAAGGGAACGGTGGGGGCAACCTATGCATAGTTTGTCGCCAGTTGGTCCCGAGTGGGACAAGATTCAGGTTACTTTCGGCCCAGCCTACTCGCCACACCCTTTTTGAACTTAGCTTCCGCACAACAACAACAAGGGGTGTTTCTCATCAATTCGTGGATAGGATTGAAAATGTATTTAGTAGTGGTGTATCTCGGGGCAGACGCACCGCGGTTGACCTAAGAGATGACGCTGAGTCTTGTTGATGCCCTGCGGCTCTTGGACCACGTGGTTCAGCCATCGCCTGCATCATCGTGTTCTTAGTTGCATTCGCTTCCAAGGTTCTAACTTGGGGACGCTTGTTGGCATGTTCGCACTTGGCTGTTGATGCACTCTGTCATCTGGACGGAAGCTTTTTGTCTGCGGAATGTTTCCCGCACGAAAATGCTCGATATGTCTACGGCCTTCAGGCATGGGTTCTTACTGATGGCCTCACTGTATGAGTTAGTTAGGGGCCAACATGAGGAGTAAGCTTCGGAGACATATTAGAAGGAAAGCAAAAGCAAAAGCAAAAGTAAAAGTAAAAGAGACGAAGAACGTCCTCGGAGGATGGAGAGAGAGCTTCAACTGGCTGGAATATGATTGTGAATGATCCTTTTAAAGACTTATGCCCCAAAGTCAAGAACAACTGTGGCTCTCTCCATGCGAGTTTCAACCATAGCTACAACCAACTTATGTCTTCGATTTCGTCGATGTCGGTGTGTTCGTGACTACTTGACACCAACATCCATGTCGCAAAGCTTTTAAGATGGAACCCTGACCACCAGAACTGTCACTTGCCCCTGTTCGTCCTGGACTCATAATACCCTGACTGTTCAGAGTCAGATGAACCGATTCTAGGCCGACAAAATGACTTCGGATATGGCTTGAAGAAGAGAACCGAAAGCTCGCTCTTCAAGTTTCCCTACACTGTCATCCAACAATCCAGTTGAAAACCCAAGATTCAAAATGGGCCGAACACTCGGGTGGCAGAACTTTTTAAAACAACATCATGAATTGGTGGTAGAGAGCATCAAACAATGGTTATTGCATCGCCAACATCTTCTTTCCGTCGTTGCAACAGTCGCATTATTCCATGCCGGCCTCCTTCGATATCACCGCTTTCTTCAGCACTCGTGACGCAGAGATGACTGAAAGAAAGGGGAAAAAAAAACCCCCCTAGCACAGTCCTACACTCGGAAAACGCTTCTTACTTTCCCAAAAACTCCTTCAGCAAGTTTCCAGCACCCGGCTTCCTATAAGCAAAGCTGCGATCTTCCGGCTTCGGCTCCTCTCGTCTCTCCTCCTCTCGCTCCTCAGCAGCATGTTTCTGAGCTACTAGCCCAGAAAAATTCTCCTGGTGTTTCGTGTCATGATGTAGGTGCTCCGGCGGATCGTGAGACCCCAGGTTGGTTGAGCTTCCGACGGTGGAAATCCCATAGCTGCCTTCCGTAGCTCTGTCGAGGCGTAGTCATTTTTGTTTCTGGTTTTTTTTTTTTTTTTTTTTTTTTTTTTTCTCTCCCTAAAATATATATGTATATCTTAGCGCTCTTGTGCCAGATGTTGGAAATTACTTGACATTTGTTCTTTGGTTTCGTATGCGTGCTTTGTTTACCGGTATGTACTATAGATATGGAGCATATCCTTCTCAGTCAGCTCTGATATACAGTCAACGCAGAAGTGGGAGGTATTAACATCCGACAAACGTACTAGCACATATGGAAATGCCCCGCACTGTAGTCACGACACTGGATGCAAATGCCGTAAATGTAACTAGGTAACGTACTCCACGCAGCAATGAGCTATAAGTATTTACGCAGCAGCAAACAAAAGGGTGGTTGTCTGGTGACATCATCCCTCTGCGGGCGGCGAAACCAGAGCCAAGAAAAGACCCTGAGGTTAGAAGGGTAACTACTGCACAGCTTAGCTAGCCTTTCGTGCCACACAACGCCCTGTTCAAATAAAACCTACCACACGCACCCAGACAGCAGATATTTAACATTTGTTTCGCTTAGCGATGTTCTCGTCAGCTGCTTGATTCTTTTGTGGGCAAGTCGTGGAACGTGCGCTTCCATTTGTGCCCTTCAGCTCCCGAAGTGCGTAGTTTTTATTGTCCCAAGCAAAGGATCACATTAAAATCAGAAAAAGGCCAGGAAAGAAAATATGCCTGACTTCTCAATAGATATGCTTTGTAATTTATATTGATTCGACGACGGCAGGGTTAAAACTATTCATCAACTAAGACTCAGCCATGAGGGATGCCTGAGATAATTGCTATTACGACAAGGTATTTTGCAAGGCTACACTGCTTCGCCGCCCCTCTCCTCCTAATATTTCGGGAAAGGAAACTTGCATGTTTCCGGGAGAAAGGAGAGACAGAAAAAAGAGAAAAATCCCGGCTTATATATACCAAGAAGACCCCATTGTGAACGCCATTGTCTTGCGCCTCTTTTCCTGTGAGAAAAAAAAAATAATAATAATAATAAACGCACGAAGCAACGACTCTCCCTCCACCCCCATCCAGAGAAGGAAGAGACAAGGCCAATAAAAAAAAAAAAAAAAAAAAAGCAAAAAGAAAAGAGAAGAGAAAAGCGCAAAGAAACGGTCCACTAAACCCCAAGCCAGTATCGCAGAGGTCATAATGAATCATACATGAAAACAATCCCCATCCCCTCACAACAACCTATACACAACTATCGATTTTTCAGCCCTAGGCACAATCCAATACCTCTCCTGTTACCAAAATTATAAAACATAGAACCGGACAAAATGATTAGCTCCAGGGCTTTCCCAAGTCCACAATCAAGCTTTCTCGGGCCGAAAAAGAAAAAGAGGGGGGGGGACGGAAGGGAATAGCGAGATAGGCACTGAAAACACTGAAAGTGAGATAAAAAGACAACCCAGGTATTTTCAAGAAAATCGAAAAGCTGGAAAGCCAAGGCAAAGACCAAAATAATCTCCTTTCTTGCTAGAACCAGCCGCAGCCCATCCAAAAATGTCAACAAGGGAAACTATCAAGGTGACCAAAGGTCGTTTCCAAGATAGATGAAAAAAAGTAAAAGGACAATATCAAACCGCGACTTCTGTTGTCTGTGTGGCTATTTCGCCTCCGGCTTCCGTTTCTGCCCATGATCCCCATAGGCCCTGCTTGGCACTGATCTTTAGGCGACCACCAATCGTACCATGGTGCTGCTCAACCTTCACAGCGTCTTTCGTGGCTAACACAAGCACCTCGAAAAACATCTTGGTCGCATCACTCTTGGTCGTTGTCCCCTCGGGGAGGAGATCTTGGAAGATAACGCTACTCTTCTTCGATCGTGAAGAATCTTCACCTCCGAATCGGTCGCGTAACAAGTGAACGGCGTGCTTTGTTCCGAGAGAGATAGGTCCGCTTTCTGCGGGATGGACGGTGCTGCTAGAGTCGTTGAAGCCCTCTGCTTGATAGCCGGGAACTTCGTCATCGGACATGTAGTGCGCTTGTTCCTCATCGCCTGCAACGTGGATCTCAGATTGCTGGTTCAGAGTGGTGTCTCCGCCAAGCTCGATGCCTTCGTCCGCATGTAGGAAACCGCTGTCTTCATCAAGGTCAAGCCGGGGCATTTTGTCAGCTCCATCAACATCCATATCGGCAATTCCGCTGTCTCGCTTTCGCTTAAGCTCGCTCGCCTGTCGCACAGCATCAATTGACAGCATTTCGCGCAATTCTGGAGCCCAGTTTTCGTTGTTGCCGCTCATAACACTTGACACGAAGTCACCGTTCTTTTGCATATTCATTAGAGTCAGTAAAAGAGGATCGCGTGGCAAAATCGAGGCTGGTTTCAAGATACTTGATCGATCAGCTTGTTGTTCTTTGATTTGATGGCTTGAGATGACAGTATCGGCATCTGGCTGGAGAATTTTTCTTCTTTTGACTCTCTGAGTTTGGCGGACAGTTTCATGCATAAAGGAGTCTTCAAGGTCTCGCACGACACTAGATCGCGCAGATGAAAGTGGAGATTGAGAATCCCTAAGGAATTCGCTGGGTTCTTCCGCAGGTACCACTGTTGTGTCTCCTTCGGCAATCGGAACTCCCAACTCTTCTTCAACACCACCCATAAGCACATCATCATCCTGTTGCAAAAAGTTATCCACATTGTCATGCGCATCTACTTCATCCTCTGTTTTGTTAAATTGGATTCCAACATCACCATGATCGAGCTCCAAATCATCGTTGAACGCCCTTTGGTCGTCGCTGAAAAGGTCTTCGCCAACCGGTCGTGGAGCAGGTGCATCTCGTCCCACTTCAATGCTCATGTCGTGGCCTAAAGGCATGTCGTCCTCGCCTAAATCAAGAACAAGACCGGTATCATCTTCCAAGTGGGGTTTTTCGATGGGCGTCGCGAACCGCCGACTAGGGGTGCTATCCGGAAGCAGCTGGCTCGACCAACCTAGCGACGATGCAGGCCTTTTGCCTTCAGACCCTACTTGTGGCATGGGTTGTGAAAACAAAACAGAGGTATCCAAGTTCATAAATAGATCAGACTCCGTAAGCACATCTGGCAAAGTAATTCCACCAGCGGGGAGGGTGACGGAGGTGGGGAGATCATTGTTGTTTGTCAATCGAAAAGCCTAAATGGGCAGTTAGCAAAACCAAGTTCATCTCCCAAGAATTCGTGAATAGTCATACGAACCATTTTAATCTTCATTAAAGCCTCGTTGCAGTCATCAAGAAGATATCTAGTTTTCCTGCTGTAGATGCGGACAACACCCAACAACAGCTGACCACTCAACCGCAACGCCATGGGCGCTTGGCCCTGGTCGACAATCGCGCTGACACTGCTTTCGATGTCAGATTGCAGAATATGGGATTTTGTCAATTTGCGTTCGAGGTTCGCGGACAGCCAGACTCGAGCCAGGGGTCCGGTCTTCGATAACAGCGTCTCCGAGTAAAACATGGCGAAGGTATGGAATTAAAAATGTCGCGTATGATTAGCGTAGATGTTTCCTTAAGTAATTCCGGATGCGAGAACGCGAGTCAACAACCAGTGCGACCAGTATGTCGACCCGCGATCATCGACACGCTGGGGCTCCAAAAATAAAAAGGGTCCAACAAATTGCGGCCTTGCGCGACGGGTCCCGATCCCGAAGGCAATAATACAATCACGTATCCAAATCCAATCAGAGATATAGAGTGATAGACTGTTCCAAGAGGTAGATGCTGGGACGAAACTGGAGTCGAGTGCTGCGATGAGTCTACAAGGAGTCGGCGGCGGGAGGAAAGGCGAGGGGTTGGGAGATGGGAAGCGCGTTTGTTTGAAATTCCAGGGTGGTTTGCCCAAAAGAGCAAAGAATGGGGTGGCTGGAAATCACGTGGTATATTTGCTGAGTCAGCAGTGCTTGGCAGAGAACTCCTAGTGAGCTATGGAAAGGCCAGACGTGAATCTTTTTTTTTGAAGACATCTTTAGCACAGTCTGCAGCGATACGGAGGAAGTCCTTCAATCTGCGATTCTAATTTGGAAGCTACTCGAATTTCCATTCTCGTGCAATCGTCATTTCCATCTGCTAACACATTGTGTTAATACTTTAATAATATTTGTCGTCGAATCTTTAGTCGTCTTTCGTTCGATCTCGCTGGCTTCTAGAAGTCCAACCGATTGATATATGCCTTCACTGCTCCCGCTGTAACCCCGGCTTCTGCCAGCCCCGTAACCGTCTCGGGATGCCTGACTGGAGCATCGCTTCCTCCGCCTCCTGAGCTATGTCAGGATTTCCGCCCCCGCTTCACTCAGTCCCTCCTCCCTACGTCGTCCCTAATTCCTCCCGACAGACTCCTTCTCCCCATCGCAAGAGCACTGTCGTATCATCTTCAAGCACATCCACATACTCGAGGCTCAGTCCACAGGAAGTCGCCGACCGTTTACAAACATCGCTTTCTCATGGCCTCTCCCCAGCAGATGCACATACAAGATTGCTACGAGATGGCCCGAACGAGCTCTCCTCTGAGGACCCGGAACCTCTCTGGATGCGATTTCTTAAGCAGTTTAAAGAGCCATTGATATTGTTGCTTTTGGCTTCTGCTGCGATTTCTTTCTTCATGAGCAATTACGATGATGCAATCAGCATTGCACTTGCAGTTACAATTGTCGTCAGTGTCGGGTTTGTGCAGGAGTACAGGTCAGAGAAGTCGTTGGAGGCATTGAATAGGATGGTGCCGCATTATGCCCATTTAATTCGCAATGTACACCACCTTGACTCACTCGGACATGTTGCACCTCAAACTGCAAATGGGGTAGCAGAATTGGAGCTGCAAGGGTTGATGACGGATGGGCCCCACCCAGTGACGTCCTCTCCAAAGGCATCTACAACAGTTCTGGCAAGCCAATTGGTCCCTGGCGATTTGGTTCTATTCTCGACGGGTGATAGAATTCCTGCAGATCTCCGCATCTTCAGCTCTACCGGCCTTTCAATTGACGAATCCAACCTTACCGGAGAAAACGAACCAGTTGCCAAATCTTCTGAATCACTGGGTAATGCAAATGGCTCACTTCAGTCAATCAAAGAAAATACTGGGTCCATTTCCCCCTATTACCATTCACCAGCCGCTGGGACGGTTGGGACTGACCTTCGATTGAACGAACAGCATAACATTGCTTTCATGGGTACTTTGGTGCGATCCGGCTATGGTCAGGGAATTGTTATAGCTACTGGGTCTAATACAGAATTTGGGAGCATCTCTGCCTCTCTTCGAGAAATCGAAAGTCCCCGAACACCACTCCAATTGTCAATGGACCGACTGGGTCAAGAGCTGAGTTACGTGTCATTTGCAGTCATTGGATTAATCGTCCTGATCGGACTATTACAAGGCAGAAAATTGTTGGATATGTTCACCATTGGTGTATCTTTGGCAGTCGCTGCTATCCCAGAGGGTCTTCCAATCATCGTTACTGTTACTCTAGCACTTGGAGTCTTCCGAATGGCGAGAAGAGGCGCCATCGTTCGAAGGTTACCTAGTGTTGAGACGTTAGGTTCTGTCAACGTCGTCTGCAGTGACAAAACAGGCACCTTGACGCTCAATCACATGACAGTTACGAAGATGTGGCATTTCGATTGCGACGCTCCTTTCGAAGTAAACAGAGACAGCAGGTCGGTGAATGCAAGCCCCGCTGCACGTACTATCCTTCGTGTCGGTAACATTGCCAATAATGCTCGTCTATCCCGCGCGCATGCCAATTCACCAGCCACTGCTGCCTCCGCTGCCATATTATCCTCAACTGTGGATCAAACTTCCGGTGCAATTAGAAGTCGATGGGTTGGCCAGCCTACAGATGTCGCCATTTTAGATTTATTAGATGCGTTCGCTGAGGATGATATTCGAGACCACATAAGCTCCCGTGTGGCGGAAACCCCTTTTAGCTCAGAGCGAAAATGGATGGGAGTGGTCATTGGTGGCGGCAGCCATCTGTCGGAGAACGGATTTGGCAACGGTGGTTGTCCCGAAACTGCATACATTAAAGGTTCCATAGAAGAAGTTCTCAAGCGTTGTGATACATACTTAACCAAAGACGGCCGGGAAGTAATTCTAGACGAAACGAGACGGCAGATAGTAAGAGAGGCAGCTGAATCCATGGCAAAAGAAGGATTGAGAGTACTTGGCTTCGCAAGCGGTCCGGTTAGAGATATCGGAAAAGGGAGTCGTCCATTGGGCAGCCGAAGCCCAACACCTGGCCATTCGGAGAAAATCCAGTCCAAAGATGACGACCTTTATACAGGCCTTGTATTTTCTGGCCTTGTCGGGATGAATGATCCACCGCGAAAAGATGTCCACCGAGCGCTCCGCAAACTGATGGCTGGCGGAGTCAGAGTCATAATGATCACAGGCGATGCGGAGACAACGGCGGTGGCTATTGCAAGGAAACTTGGAATGCCTGTTAATACGTCACCCTCGGCTCGAGAGGTACTCAGGGGAGAAGACGTAGATCGCATGAGCACTGACGAATTGGCGCAGACGATTTCTGCAACTTCCATATTCGCGCGAACTAGTCCGGATCATAAGATGAAAATTGTGCGAGCGCTTCAATCGCGCGGGAATGTTGTTGCAATGACAGGTGATGGCGTCAATGATGCACCTGCCCTGAAGAAGGCAGACATTGGAATCTCAATGGGTCGATTAGGTACCGATGTCGCGAAGGAAGCGGCAGATATGATTTTAACGGATGACGATTTCTCAACGATTCTACGAGCCATTGAGCAAGGCAAGGGAATTTTCTATAATATCCAAAATTTCATCACATTTCAACTGAGCACCAGCGTTGCGGCATTGAGCCTTGTACTCTTCAGCACAACACTGGGATTCAAAAACCCGCTTAATGCGATGCAGATATTATGGATCAGTATGTTCCTCCCCGCTTCTTCTCCCATTCAACACTAGACAGGCAGCCCAAATTACTAATCACCATCTCCCATACAGACATCCTGATGGACGGCCCACCGGCCCAATCCCTCGGTGTTGAGCCTGTCGATCCCTCCATCATGAGCCGGCCCCCACGCTCCAAACATGCCCGTGTACTTACCAAACCATTGATCCGCCGCGTCCTCACCTCCGCACTCCTAATAATGCTCGGGACGTTTGCCATCTACATCCACGAAATGTCCGACCATACGGATGAAGTCTCGGGGGCTCGCTCGCGCATCGTCACCAGTCGCGACACTACCATGACATTCACCTGTTTCGTGTTATTCGACATGTTCAACGCACTTACGTGTCGGTCAGAAACTAAGTCCATCCTACGTGGAGAGTTGCCGCTATTCGGCAATAAGATGTTCAACTATGCGGTCCTTGGCTCTTTGGTAGGGCACGCATGCGTTATCTATTTGCCGCTCTTGCAGGGCATTTTCCAGACGGAGGCGATTAAGTTGTGGGATCTGTTTGTCCTTGTTTGCATTTCTAGTACGGTGTTTTGGGTTGATGAGGGGCGGAAATATCTGGCGTGGCGGAAGAGGAATGGTGGGGTGGGAATATCTGGCATGAGGATTGGTGGGTATAGTGTTAATGTGTGAGACTGTCTACGAAGTATGGAATGAGCAAAGGCGCGTGGGAGAGCTAGGTGGGCGTTCCCTGATTTAATGACGAGATCTTTATCCTATTTTTACATATTTTTGTATGTCGCGCTTTAGATCACATTTGTTCTATATTATCTTTTCTCTTCGGTTTCCTGACATGCCACTTCCTCTCTCCCCCTTCCCAACTATATCTCATTACATCGTCGGAATAGACAAAGGGAGGATCAGTGCTTTTATTATTCTTTGTACAGTACGGATTATTGTATGCTTTTTCTACTTGTACGATAGCACATCCTCATACCCCACATACTACACCGCCCAATCATTCTAGTTAAACAAACACTTGGTTTCGCCTGCTGTCGATGAATATAAAAGAGCCGGCGGCCTTTTAAATAAAAATAAAAATAACCATAAAAAATCCATCGAATCCTGAATGGTCCAACCTCATGAACCTTATCATGACCAAAACTCTTTATCTCCAGGCGCAGGACTCATTTCATCGGTGTCCAGAGTTCCAATTAACCGTGGTTTAAGTTAAGCCTGGGCTGAAAACACAGCATGACCTGGCCACAAAGTACGTCCCATCTTTCTTCTGACCGATCTTACACGTAACACGAGTGACTTGGCGACGACTTGGTTAAGCGCGCGGAAACTCGGGCCGGATCGCGCCTAATTTGTACTACCTCATCCAACACCACAAGGGGATATTCTGTTGCAACTTTCTAACTTTGAATTGAATCAACAATCAACCATGAGAGGGAATATATATATAGGTTATTATCGAGGTATGCATATATGGAGAACTAAAATCAGCATAACTAACACGGGTATGAAATGGAAAATAGGCTCACTGAAATCGAAAACTATAACTCCTAGACTGGTGACATGTTGTATGTGATCTCTGGAAAAACAAAAAGAAAACTCAAGAAAAGCATAAATTTGCAAAAATGACCAAACAATACTGAGAGGTTCAGTCTATTTCTACCTTTTCGCTGTGACCAAGGCCCGCGGGCTGTGGAGTAGCGTTTTTACTCTCATTATTCTCTGAATCAGCTGGTGTTGATGTTGGTACTGGTCGACTGTTCACTGCCATGGCCTCCTTTGTCATCTCGCTGTGTTCATTGATTCCATAAAGATGAACAGAGGACACATCATGGCTTCCTTGGTTCTGTATATGACTCTGCGGCGTCCATGCAAGGTAGTCGCGGCGCACCTCGACATAATCATATGCAAATTCCCCGATTTGGTCGTCGTCCATTCCCAATAGCTCTGCCTGTTCTGACGCACGCAATTTCAGACCTGGGATCGCGTTGATGGCATACGCGATTAGGGCGGATACTACGAAGGTGTACGCGCTGGTCGCAAGGATGTAGGCGATCTGGATGTACATTTGTTTGTAGTTACCAATGAGCCAGCCCCCCACACCCGTTCCCGTGTTTACACCGTCGAGCCCGTAAATCGCGTCGGTGGCGAAGAAACCGTTGAATATTAACCCGACAATGCCGGAAATGCCGTGCTCAGCGAAGATATCCATGGAATCGTCGATACGGATCCAGTATTTTACTACAGAGAATGTTAGTTGAAATCTTCTTCCTCCTTATTTGACATACCCAGAGAATCATTTCCGATTCTTAAGGAAACTGACTTTTTGTAGCGTAGTTCGCTACGACTCCCGTAACTATCCCAAGCACCACACTTGCCCACGGAGGAATAAAACCAGCGGCAGGAGTTGATGCAACCAAGCCAGATATGGTACCTGAACACCACCCCACCATAGACCACTTCCGAGCGAGTCGCCAGTCGAAGAGTACCCAAGTAATAGCCGCAAAGCTGGCGGCCAAAATGGCATTCCAGGATGCGATGACAGCAAGCAGGTTAGCGCCGAAAGCCGAACCACCGTTGAATCCCAGCCACCCAAACCACAGGAAGACAGTTCCCAGGACAATTAGCGAGACATTATGTGGTCGGAAGTTGAGCATCATGCTCTCCTTGCGACGACCCAAAACCATCGAATATGCAAGCGCAGATAAACCAGATCCAATTTCAACGGGACCGCCTCCCGCAAAGTCCAAGACTCCCCATTTGTGAGCCCACCCATTGACATTCCATATCCAACACGTCAGGGGACAATAGACGAGAGTAGCCCAAAAGAAAGTAAAAACCATAGCAGGCAACAGACGGCCACGCTCAGCCACGGATCCCATTACAATGGCGGCAGTGACCGCACAAAATTGCATCTACCAAATCCTCCTCAAGTCAGCGTCAGATTGCACATCTGTCATAATTAAATTTCCACGCACCTGAAATAAGGCATATAGCAGCTCCGGTATCAGTGGCGACCCGGGACTCGGAGTTGCGAGCGTCTTCTTGAGGCCAAAGTTTCTCAAATCGCCAATAAACCCGTTCTTTGCGGTGGGGGAGAAGGCGAGCGAGTAGCCCCAGAAATACCACTGGAAAGTGACGATGGACATGGACCCCATGCACACCCAGATCATACTGAGAGCGGACTTTCGCCTCGCGAGACCTGAGTAGAGGAAGCCCAGGCCGGGAATCATGACCATGACCATCGCTGAGGCGACGATTAGGTACGCCTGGTCCCCAGGTTGGAACCATTTGTTTAAGTTTTCGACTCCTGGGATTTTATCGGGGTGGTTAGTGTATTTGGGAGATATCGCTTCTGGGGGTTGGGGAAACTTACGGGAGTTCCCTCCCAGGTCCGAATCGGTTGTGAGCTCGAAGTTTGCTGGCGCACCGATCCAGTTGTAGGATGCATAGTCGGGGACATAGGGGCCCGGATGAGCCGACATATTGTTCCCCGAGGAGGTCTACTGCCTGCCTTTCCTGTGTTGGTAAGTTTACCGGGTTCGTCTCTCTTTTATTTTATATTTTGCTTCTCATATATTTCCCTTCGGTGATTTCCTAGTAAATGAAATCCAGTATAACAAGTTACAGCTTGAAAACTCAATTTTCTTTTTACAAGCAGAATGGAGAGCAGCGAGGGATGAAATGGGAGAAGAACAGGCGGTCTGGCGTAGGGAAAATAAAAGGAAGGTGAATAAAGAAAATTAAGAACTAAGATACGCAGGAGTATATATCAGGTTCGCAACCCCTAACTACGGACAGTGAGTGTCGGAGTACCGACTCTTACTCTTACGAGGTTATTAAAGACGGAAGATAAGCTCGAAGACTCGAACACAAGGAAGAGATAACGAAAGAAATAAACATTTAATTGGATCCCGGGACACGAAAATCAATCGGTCCTCCCCCTCAATAATACCTGGTTATCAACAAGCGGACACTATAAATAGAGAAGAGATAAAGACGTGGGAGATATGGAGAAGATAACGACCTAGGGGCCTGATGATAAAACTAAACTCGACTAGGTATTTTTATCATTCTGGTAACTCCAACATCTGTCTCCCGAAGCCAAGCCACGGATCACCCACTTCCCGCCGGCTCCATGGCCGCTACCAGGTGGACGAATGGGCAAAGCACCAAAGAGGCCATGTGTGTTTCTGCTGGACATGTCTGGCCCAGCACTAGGTCGTCCTGTACGGTGCATGTATATGTCTACATATCTTACTCTGGTCCTCTGTCCTAACATGGAGAATGCTAGTTCTTGCTACATCTTTTCAATGCGTATCTCAACATTACGCCGTAGATATCATACCAGGCATACGGAATACAAATAACAACGTCGCCGTGTTCATCTCTCTGCTCATTGATTGGCCGATAACGGGTTGAAACGTCCAAACTGGTGGCGACCACTGTTTCTGTGGAACATATGGAAATCTCAATACCGGACCGTAAGTAATTCCGGGTTCCCTTTGCCTGGAGTTTTGGGGATGCAGCGCCTAAATGAGAGCCCAGCTCTAGGCACCACCCCCCTATTCCTCAGCTGGTACTGTCACAGCGGTACTTTTATAAGTTTCTAGCGTCGGTAATGACTTTTGATCCATCTCCAAACTAGATCGATAATAGAGCACAAAGATAACAACATGCCATTGAGCGTTTTTTATTTTTTTTTTTTGACTTTTTCTTTTCTTTTGTTACTGAGGTTAAATAATCGGCCAGCCCAGGCCTCCACAAAAATCACCGCATACAAAAGAAAAAAAAAAGAAAAAACCTCATCTCTTTCCTGATAACAAGCTTAAAAGCTGATGATAAGTTAGCTTCCTTCCATTGGGCTCCGCCCGCTATATAGATGCCATGGATTATCGGAAAAGCCACGGAATGCTTATTTTCGTTTAGTTATTATTTAGTCTCACACAGGAAACGCTCTCCCCTCTAACCGGATTATTGGTGGAGAACCACAACGCGTTGAGGCTGGTGCTGACCGGGTCGTTTCGGAGGCCCATGATTCAGTAGGTAGATACAGCTCTGATAACACTTTACATTATTCACTGAATATAAGCACTCAATTGAACGAGCCATCTTGCTATCTATCTAAGTAGGATCAAGCCACTCCCACAAATACGCAAAAATGATGCAATTGAAAGTTTGAAGACATCTCATCCGCTTTACTGCGGCATGTCGATTACAAAATACCCAATGCGGAAGTAAATCGATTCAAAACGGGCTCCGTGCTCCTTTGTGCTTCCTACATCTTCCTTCGGAAAACCATAATCAATTCACAACAATCCCCCTTGCCCTCACCCGCTCCTCCACACTCAATCGACCAACCACATCCTCCATATTGCCGCGCATGACCTCCTCCCACTCCTCCTCCTCCATACCCATCACCATCACGATCTGTAAACACCGTCCAAAGGCCTCACGATGCCGATATCGAGCCCCCCCATACTGCCTTGCACCATCCTCACCCCCGGCGCCACCACCTTTGCGACCACCATCATCCCGGCCCACATCCACCGCTACACTAACTATCCCCATAACGTCCCGCTCCAACTGCGTCGCCCCTAACGCATTCACTCGGCCATGATACGACCAGATACGCTTTTCTAAAAGTCGCGCCAGCGCCGCCACAATCACGCCAAGTAGCCGCTCAAAGACCCGTCCACTAAGAATTCGTGCGATCGGCTCTAGCAGATCCGCCCACGCTATCGCAAACCGGTGACGAACGACGTTGCCGTCGGCCTCATCCATCAACCCTTCTCCGTTGGCAACATCGTTCTCATTAACAACATCATCCCGCGGTTGGTACTCAATGTCACGGAATGATTCTGCTAAAATAGGTCGGATATGAGCTTTGATGACATTATTGAACAAGACTTGAATCCCATCATTGACGAGATCCTGGGCTTTGGACTCGAATGATGAGGAGAACGACTTCAGCATGCTGCCTACTCTCTGGGCCTCGTTGCCGAGCGGGAAGAGGTTGGCGAGCGGAGATTCGCTGGCTGCGGTGTCGCCGGGTCGATTACGGCCAATTTCGGGTTTCGAGGGTTCCACATGGTTTTTCACGATGCGCTGGATGTACTCGATGGCCACGTCAAGGTTGTTGAGAAGCACTAGGAAGGCAATGATGGTGGTTTCAGATGGAGCGCCACCTGCAGCTCCTCTGGGATAACTTTCATCCCGCATCTTGCGCTGGATCATACCGATGAAATCAGTGCCAAGAACCCGGGCGAGAGTTGGCGTCACGCTGGCCATGACGTCGTGTTGCGAAGTGCGGAGCGACTGCTGAAGAACCTTGTTGACAATATACATAATGTCGTCCACGGCCGAAGTGATGTGTGGCGGGTTAGCGCGCAGGGGTTGGTGTCGGTTTAACGTCAATTCTGGGGGTCCTTCGTCTAACTGGAAAGCCTTCTCCACCGACCGCCGGAGGAAAAATGTAGTCATTGCGTTGAATGGGTGGATAAGGCGATCACTGATCTTCTGACACAGCGCTGATTGTGCAAGGAACTCCGGTAATTTGAATTCTTCCTCATCACCGTTCTTTAGTCTTGTTAGTCTACAATTATCCGTAGGGAATGGCACCGGTCAAAGTAGCAATAAAAAGGTATAATGACTTGCCATGCATTTATCAGTTAAGAAGCGGGAATATAAGGACCACCTCCCCAGCATAATGGCCATCTCATTCAAAAGTCCATCAATCTCCTTCATATCCACCCCTTCGTCCTCACATGATCGCTGTGAAGCTACATCGCGACTAGCCGGCGAGTTCGCTCGAGGTGTGCCCATACCCCGGGGAGCAGGCAGGAAGCTCTGTACAAGAAACGTAAAAGCATAAGACTTGATATCTGTTAACTTGCGATCAATGTGGCGGTCATCGCTCCAGGACTCCAAGATGATACCCCCCTGAACATCCGCCTCGACCTGCAACCTTTCCACAACCCTCGTCATCTTGCCCTGACCGTAGTGTCTCTCCACTAAAGCACCATGCCCATCGACAATCTGCGCAATATGTTCAAACAACTTGGTCAACGCATTCGCATAAAAGAATCCATCTTTCCTTAGTTCCCCACCCGCTCCAGAATGTAAATTAGCCCTTGCCCGTGTCGCCACGCCCTGGCACACATAGCGCCCATACACATCCAGCCCAACAGCTGACCTCCCAATAAGCGGAAACAATTTGAAAAACCTCGTGATCTTCGCATCATCGTTGTCCTTGACTGCCCGTTCAAATTCCCGCAGGAACAACCCGCAGAGCGATTCCGCCGCATTCTCCAGCGTCACACTTGGCGGATCCGGAACTTCAGCAGTAGGCACGATCTCCACTGCAAAATCACCCAGTATGACATCCTTGGGGATCTTCGACGCACGGTTCATGTAACTCGCAGCCATTTCCCAGTCTTGCGATGCTCCCATGGACCCAGCGACGCCTAGCACACACGCTTTCAACTCCACTACTTGTTCCACTACGTCCAGTGTAGCCTTGACACGCGATTGTTGGAGATCGAGCCGCTTGACGGCGCTGGAGATGCGGTCCGCGGTCCTAGCAGCGTCCGCAAGCATGCCATGGCTGATTGCGCGAGTAGTGGTTACTTGCGAGCCTAGTTGGGCGCGGAGCAGATCCAGTCGGCCTAGTTCGCGGGAGAAGTCTTTTTGCGAAGCTACGAGTGCATCGAGGCGGGCAGTTACTGCAGCTTCACGGTCATGGAGATGGGATAAGGTGGCTTTGATATCGGCAATTGTGCGCGCATTGTAAATGTCAGGCGGGTTCTCAAGGTTGGTATTGTGTGTGGAATCACCGTGGCCATTGACTTGCTGAGTTTCGCGGCTATCGCTGGTTTGAGGTGCAGTATTCTTCGTGTGCTTGTCATCTTGTTTCCTGTCCTTGGCCGCCAGGTCAGAATGGCCATTGACAACGGCGGTGGGCGAGGGAGCAACGGGTGTCCTGGCAGGTTGGGTCATTCCTTGATGGACCCGATTTAGATAATCGAGACTTTCTAAGCTGAAGTCCATAATGGAGTCTTAGGATATGTAATTAATCCAAGGTGCAGCATAGAAACATCCGTCCAGGTCTCTTCTGATTATATTGACAAAAATTGTTTGTCGAACATCAACTGCAGCCAAGACACAGGCGGCTGGATATTTATATTTAAATTAGCCGCGGGACCAAGCGAAACAAGCGATGTCAAACCTCAAATAACGAAGCAAACGAGGCAACGGAATTATATATAATTCATTCATTATAATAAGTCACCAAGCATTTCCGGTTCGCTTTTTTCAGCCTCTTCTTCTTCTCTCGTTCAGATTTCCGCCTTGACTTTCTCTCGTTACTATCCGCTCCGACTCGTCAGTTTGAACCAGAAGACAGCTCTGTTCGGCAAAGTCTCTCTTTCAGAATTCAATATCTACGAATCACTCCCGAAACGTAAAAATAGGCCGTCGTCGAAGACCCAGGAATAAAAAGGGCTATTCGCCCCCTCGCCGCTCACCAAAAATGGGGAATGAAAGCTCTGTCCTTTTGGACGAAAGCACCCCACCAACAACCCTGAAATCCCGCTCGCTCGAAGGGATCGCTGAGTATATTAAAGAAAAGAATATTCGACGGATTGTGGTCCTGGTAAGGAGTTTATGATCCCTACATGCCATACATATATGATCCCTTCTAACATTTCGCCATCCGACTATACACAGACTGGTGCGGGAATTAGCACAGCCGCAGGAATCCCAGACTTCCGTTCTCCGGATACGGGAGTCTACGCAAATCTCGCCCGTCTAAACCTCCCGAGTCCAGAAGCCGTATTTGATATCTCCTACTTCCGCAAAAATCCATTCCCCTTTTACGCCCTGTCCAAGGAGATGTTTCCCGGCCGCTATCGGCCAACGCTCACCCACTCGTTTATCAAACTCCTCTACGATAAAGGCCGTCTACTCAAGCTCTTCACTCAAAACATCGACTGTCTGGAACGGGAAGCAGGTGTACCGGGGGAAATGATTGTGGAAGCACATGGAAGCTACGCATCCCACCGATGCATCGATTGCAAAGCTTCATTCCCCGAAGATTTAATGCGCAAGGCTATAGATGCAGATGATGTGCCTCGGTGTCTCGGATGTCAGGGGCTAGTGAAACCTGATATTGTGTTCTTTGGAGAGCCCCTGCCAGAGACTTTCTTCATGAACCGCACGCTCACTGTTGCGGCAGACCTGTGCATCATTATGGGCACTAGTTTGAGTGTACAGCCGTTCGCTAGTTTACCTAGTCTGTGCAGGGATGGGTGTCCTCGCCTTCTGATTAATCTCAATAGGGTTGGGGGCCTCGGTAGCAGGCCAGATGATGTTTTGCTACTAGGTGAGTGTGACGATGGTGTGCTGAAATTCGCAGAGGCGTTGGGTTGGCGGGAGGAGCTGGAGGAACTATGGGCGCGGACAAATCCTAAAAAGGCAGGTTTGACGAATAAGGAAAAAGAAAAACTAGCTCGCTCCAAGGATGAACAGTTACGTGATGAGGTCGAACGGTTGGCAGGAGAAGTGGAGCACACTCTGCAAATATCGCGATCCCACGAGGCGCGAGTCCGTTCAGAGCTACATATAGGGGAGAAGGTGGAAACGGCAAAAGGAGCAGAAGGACCAGAAGGACCAGGCAAGCGTGAATCCCCAGCCACTTCCAGGGTTGAAATCAATCGCGAAATGGAGAAGGAGGACAACCAGCCTTCCGGATCGGAACAACCCGACCCTGTGGCCCAGCAACAAAGCAAGCCAGATGCGAAATCTGCCGGCGATAGTGCAGTAAACCAGGATGTATCCTCTCCACCGCCAACCACGGAACCTAATAAGGGAACTGGCTAGGAGACAGAAACAACAAAGTAACTCGGGACATCAGGTTTCGACCCTGCCTGAGAGTACTCGGGGAGGTACTGGACAGCCCTTGTTTCCTTGTCTCGCATAGAATTATGGGCCTAGACCAGGAATTATGAAGAATTAACGACGATGATGACCAACATGCTGAGCGTTTAAATTTATGACTACATATCCTCATTAGTTAGAAGCATTTGATGTTTCGATTTTCTCCCGCAAGATTTGCAATTCCTACTACATTAATAACGATGGCGATTCCTTAGTATCTAGAAAAGTCGAAGTGATATGTTAAATCCGTAGTCGATTTAAAATTAGAGTAACCCTAGGGACGAATGATATAAGCGTTAAAAAACAGGGGCACAATAGATATCTAGCATGCTTGCGACCTTGGACTGAAGAGCGTAGGAATGCTCGTGCTGGTGCTGTTGCTTCGAACTCCATGCAGGCTGCTTACTACTCTCACTGTCGTCATAATATCCATGGATGTAACCAGACCGCCAACAAGTTGCTTGTGGGGCACGCTGGGGACAACAACCTCGATCCCAACCACTTTTTCTCTACCACCACCAATTCCTCCCTCATCTCTTGATCGCAACCTGTCATCAAAGTATCCGGCCTCTGGGTTATTCAATAGACGTTTGTTTCCTACGTTATATATTCCCATTTAAGGCCATTCGCCGAGGTCACAATGGCTATAACACCCCGCCGAAAACCTTCCCGGAAGGGTGAGTATTTGCCAGTGAGTCCCAGTTATACGTCCCAGTTTTAGAATACGCCTGAGCCATGTAGTGGGCAGTCATGCATATGTGGTCATATGTCAATGCGAAAACGTAGCGACGAGGGCTAACAAAGCTTCATCTTAGGATCAATGGCTGATATGCCGAAGGATGTGCTTGACCAGCTCAAGACGCTGGAAGAGCTCTTCACAGTTGACCAGGAGAAGCTGAAGCAGATCGTTGAGCATTTCATCAAGGAGTTACAGAAGGGTGAGCTTCTTTTATTCCCTTTTGTTTGTCCAATGCCAATGGATAGATATCTACGCACGAGAAAAGCAGAGGTGGTTAGGTGGGCAGCAGAGAGGGCATGGATTACGATTGAGAGCAGCTTTTAAAATATGAATTAGATATTCCACGTATTCTAACAATGTGGATGAAAAAGGCCTCAGTGTCGAAGGCGGAAACATTGTAAATTTCCCAACCCTGCGTTCCTGATCCGCGCCCCTCATACAGAGAAGTGATCCAATTATTAGTTACTGATTCACTTTCCTCCCCAGCCCATGAACGTGACTTGGGTTCTGGGATTTCCCACTGGCCATGAGAAAGGTACATTTCTGGCTCTGGACATGGGGGGCACCAACCTGCGCGTCTGCGAAATTGAGCTCTCCGAAGAGAAGGGCGAGTTTGATGTCACACAGTCCAAGTATCGAATCCCCGAAGAGCTCAAGAGCGGTGAATCATCAGAACTATGGGAATATATTGCCGACTGTGTACAGCAGTTCATAGAATACTACCATGACGGTTGCACGGCTTTGCCAGACCTGCCGCTGGGCTTTACCTTTTCGTACCCTGCTACTCAAGAATATGTTGACCACGGTGTCCTACAGAGATGGACCAAGGGTTTTGATATTGACGGCGTCGAGGGCAAAGACGTCGTCCCAATGTTAGAAGAAGCTTTGGCTAAGAAGGTTAAAAATTCAGCTCTTTCCCCATTTTTCTTTGGCTATATGGTGCTAATTACTTTACAGGGTCTCCCCATTAAAGTTGCCGCTCTAGTAAACGACACGACTGGCACACTTATTGCTTCCGCCTACACTGACCCAGAGATGAAAATCGGCTGTATCTTCGGCACAGGCGTCAACGCCGCCTACATGGAAAATGCGGGCTCTATCCCTAAAATAGCCCACTACAATTTACCTCCCGACACCCCAGTCGCTATCAACTGCGAATACGGCGCCTTCGACAACGAACTCATTGTCCTCCCCCGAACGCAGTATGACGTAATCATTGACCGCGACTCACCCCGACCCAGGCCAACAAGCCTTCGAAAAAATGACAGCAGGTCTCTACCTCGGCGAGATCTTCCGACTTGTCCTCCTCGACCTCTACGACAACAAGGGAAAGCTTATATTTGCTAACCAGGACGTATCCCAACTACGTAAACCATACTCCCTGGACTCCTCCTTCCTAGCCTTCATCGAAGAAGATCCCTTCGAGAACCTGTCAGAAACGCGAGATCTCTTCGAACGCACCCTGGGGATCTACGCATTGCCCTCGGAGCTAGAATTCTGCAGACGCCTGGCGGAATTGATCGGCACACGTGCCGCACGCCTCTCCGCTTGCGGTGTTGCGGCCATCTGCAAGAAGAAAAATATCACCCATTGCCATGTCGGAGCGGACGGGTCGGTGTTCGAGAAGTACCCGCATTTCAAGGCCAGGGGCGCCAGAGCCCTGCGGGAGATCCTTGACTGGCCAGATAGTGAACCGGATCGGGTTGTGATGAGCGGAGCGGAGGATGGGTCTGGCGTTGGTGCGGCGCTTATTGCGGCTTTGACGCTTGAGAGGGTTAAACAAGGTAATTTGGTGGGGATTAGGAATAAGGACTCAATTAAGAAAATGTGTTAGGGGCTGGGCGGTTGTCTTGTGATTGTTGTACAAGGATGGAGAAGACAAACAAAAAGAGTGGCCAATGATGTATCAGAGTCAGTATACAGAGTATATAGACCAGTCTCTATTTCCCTTTTGTTAACTCGTCTTTTTATTAGCTTCTTGGGAATGGAAGTACATCGGAAGCGGTCTGTCTTAAATCTAAAAAAATATGTTCATCCCTTTCTCGTCTGCCTGATTGATTCCCGCCACAGGGTGGGAGGGTGGAAGCTTCCAAATAAAAACATTTTCATTAAACTTAACATGCCTTACGGCCTACTCACAAGGAAAGGAATGATGCAAGAGAAGGGGAAGTATAAAAGAAAGTAAAGCGAGAAGAGACCAAAATGCAGAGCAAAGGAACACAGGAAGGAAGAACACGCCACTCAGTTGAGACATCTGTCATCCGTCTCAGCTCGAGTAGTTTCTCAGCATGCAATTGCGCGGCCATCCAAAGAAAGCCACCTGAAATCCAGATTTCGTATCTGTCGCCGTTGTTGAAAACCTCCATTCCTTTTGAGCTAGATACTAACAATCAGGTAAGGTCAAATACAGGAGGTGCACTTGAAAGTCACTGGTCCGGTCATCGCAGGGGCGGAGGACGACAGCGGCTCCTTGTTCTTCGTATCAGCCTGGTCCCGACCTGACTCCTCATCCCATGCTGGTTATGGATTCCAAGTTTCGGGTATCCCCAAGTGGGGAGGAGAGAAGCCATCGAATTGCCCATTCGAAAGCCTTAATACGGTCTTCTATGGACTCGGTGAAGTTCATAGGAACAGGCTTGCCATATCGTAGAAAAAATCTGGACCCATCGTAATAGGCCTCAACGGTTCGAAAATTTGCCGGTGCGAATGGATACCAGAAGGATCTGATGGAAAATCATACTCAACATCTTGTTCTTCCGACTTCAAATAGTCAGTCCACTGGGCGACAACACATACCGGAATGAACTTGTGCCCCTTCCCAATGATGACCTTGTTTTTCCACCAGGTCACGCTGAGGATGGATAACAACTCCCCTCGCATGATAGGCGCGGGCGAGCTAGTAGCCTGAAATGACAGGATGACTGTATGAGGTAGGTCTTTCTGGCCCCATATAAATGGCGTCCGCCACTCATATCTTTCGGGTGATCGAGATTTTACAAGCTCCAAAGGCATACGGATATTTTGTGCGGCTCTAAAACTAGAATTAGCGATGTATTTCGTGTGCGGATCCAAAGCTGGTGATAAACTTGCCTTTCATTATGCCATTTGCCATATTCACCTAGGATCTCATATTTGGGGGTTTCTTTTGATGAAGTTCTCAGGAAATTCACAATTTGAATATCGACCACCGAAAGATATTCCTCGTCGCCATACTCGCGAAATCTGTTTCTAGAACCAAGCGGCTCAAACGTGTATTCTCGAAGATCGGCAAGGGGCATTTGTGAAAAGAAGGCAGGTTCGGCGTTGGTGACAGTAAAGTCGTCCTTGATGATGGGATCATCCGCTTGAAAGTAACACGCTGGGCAATCAAGAATCCGATAATAAGTCTGCGCAATCCTATCACACACCTTCATAGCCTCAAGGTATTCTTCCCTGTTTACAGGAATGGGCTTCCCTTCTTTTATGAACTCAGAGATTGAAGATAACGGGATATTGAGACTTGTGGTAAGAGAACAAGCAGGGTGAGAGAAGAGAGTTAAGAGTTGAACAGTTCCAAGGTTGGTGTCCAAGTCCAAGAGGAAGTTTCACTGCCTTTTTTATCCGCGTGAATGTTGTCCAGGAAACCTTCTGCAGCGGTAAGTACGCTGCACATACGGGTTGGTGGTTACGCCTCCTGCCGTGGACAGACAGAGCACGCCGGGTGTATCCTCGCCCATGTCCTGATCAGGATATATATGTTCAACCAGGCGCCTAGGCTGTACAGCGCATATACTATGTACAGTACATATATAATATATATATATATATATATATATATAGGCCCCTGCCCCTCCCCCTCTGTAGGATTCTCATTGAAGGCGCTAAAATGTGATTGACACGCATCATGACTCTGCTCGCGAGCCGAACTATTTCGAGTGCTCAGCGGGAAGAAAAGATGGCGCTGTTTCATGCCTGGCGCGGATTACTCCTCCCTCCCTCCCATTTCGCATTTCGCACTCACGCAGTCGTTCTTGAGCGTTATGCCCAACGGGCTTTCCCCTTCGCGCGCTCCTTAGTTATCCGACGATTCCACGATGAGGTTAAATAGCAGCGTTTCTGTCCTCTTGCCTTCCGGCGAACGAGGTGCTGTAGTGATATTTCTTGAATATTTTTCCTCGCCGCTTGTGACCTGATCGTCTCATAGTTCAATTATAATTGCTTAGAAACCCCCTACATTCTCGGTAGCCTCTGTAGCAATGGGCAAAAAAATCATGGAATTGCCTTCCACAGCGAAAGAATGGCATACGTTCGCGGATCAACATGGGGTGGAGTCAACCTCAATCCAAGATCTTAAAACCTTCAATTCGGCATCAAAAATCAAAGAGGCGCAATTTCTGGCGCTACATGTTCTTTGGAAATCGTATGCGCCCGACGAAATCGATCTTGAAAAAGAGTATGATATCAAATACCGCACCGAAGACCTTAAGGATCTGGCCTGGAGCAAATACTGGGGGCCATACCTCCAAGAGATATCAAAGGGATTCGATGGGAAGACCGATCTAGGAACGTTTGACTTGCTTTACGACTTCCAGCGCGATATAAAAAACTCAACACTTGGGCCACAGGAAACGAAGAAGGTGTTTTTTAATGTTACAACTCGGCTGCAACGCAAGGCTGCGGGGGAAAATAATTCTCCTCCTTCCACACCCAGTCGTGCCTCGAGGAGCCCCAATCCGGGGTCAGACGACCTGGAGGTGGGATCCCTCGAGAACGAAATGAAAGAGCTATACATTGACGACATGAGTTCTGTCGGATCCCCTCAATCTCTGGGGTTGAGAAGTGTCATCGAGTCCATTTCACCGGTAACCAGTGATGAGGCAAAGTGGTTGCCCCTGGTTAAAGATGAGCAGATCGTGAACACAGCTCTCATTCTCCTTTTGCGAGGATTATGCATGCGGATGCCTGGTTTCACGAATGCAAGATGGTCTCTTGAGCGGAAAGCGTTTCGCATTAGACAACACAAATCTCTCGACAAGGAAAGCCTTTATGAGGCACGAACGGACGGCCACCTCGCATTCTTTACTGAAAATACGCCACGATCATTAGCCATCCTGGAAGTTAAATCTCAGGTTAGAGGAAATGCCGAACCATGGATGCAAGAAAGTGCCGCAGATGGCTGCTTGGATCTACGATGAACCAAGTACAGGGGATAGATCGAATTTTCGGTAAGAGGATTTATTCACGAGCAATTGTAACGAAAACGTTAACTGGCCCCAGGCGATGCATGATTAGCCAGGATCGCCATGAAATCTACATTATAATCGCTACATACACCAAAGAATATGTGGCGTATCTTCAAGGGGACCGGGATGGGTCCTCGGGTCCTTTTCTCACGATGCATCAAATTGGACCATTCATTCCCAATGCAGAGAGACACATGGAGCGGTTAGGAAGGATTATTGCGGCATTGAGCAGGCAACTGGTACATCAAGCAAAGAATGGAAATCCATGCCATTGGTAATTAGAAGTGTTGCGGGGTTTTTCCTGTGTTATCGTTTCCTTGCGATCGGCTTGTGTTTGAACTTCAGTCTGGATTTTTCTATATGAAAGTTGCTGGTTTGAATGCTCCTGTTTGAATGCCTGTGTGTTTTGAACATAATAAATTACTATCTCCATGAAAGGGTATTTCCATCTCTATTCCATTTGGGGGGGGGGGGGGGGGGGGGGGGGGGGGCGACCGACATTACAAAGTACATTTATTCTTTTCGGTAATCCCAGTGAACTTCCCTGTGCATACGACCAAGTGTT